GGGTGGAGGGGGCCGGCTGGCCTGTGGCCTTCTAGAATAGCACCCACGGGGATTTGGGGAGGGAGGGACTGTATCGCCCTGGGGGGCTGTTGGCTTTCCAGCCACAGGGACGGCGCTAGCGAGAACAGAGCTGCCACAGCGCTTCCCTCCCTGCTGGCAGAGCCTGATGCAGGGGATTAGCTGCTGGGGATGCTGGTCTGGGTGCTCTGCAGCAGCGCGAGCCTGAGTGGTGCTGCCTGTGTGTGGGTGAGACCCCCTGGGATGCCCCAGCATCACTGTTTGCTGCTCCTTCCCCGACCCTGGGGAGCGCAGGGGCTGTCGGCCCCAGCCAGAGGGAAGCTGCAGCCGCTGCTGTGGGGGCAGGCATGGGTGGTGGTGCCCCGCCTGTGAGGTGCTGCCCGCTGGCCAAGACTAGGGAGCCTGGAAAGTGTGAGTCAAGGCTTGGGTCCTGCCTTGTCTTGCAGCGTTCGTGCCTGTCTTCAGGGGCATCCCAGCTGGCACTGGAGCCACTGCTCCTCCAGCCTCCATGCAGCACTAGCACACTGGGGCCCAAACAATGGCTTTATAAGGGCAGAGCTGCTTTCCTTGTGCTGCCTTTGCTTTGCCATCACCCCCTGAGCCAGGGCTGGCAATGGTGGGGGGCCTCCGGAGCTCAGGCAGGGGCTTTCCCAAAGCTCTGAGCATGGTGCCCGCCCCCCCGCCAGGGCAGCTGAATCACGAGGTGGGGCCAGTGCCGGCCAGGCCGTGGGCACAGAGCCCCTCAGCTCCACAGCTGCAGCAGCTCCAGCACAGCAGAGGCTCCATGGGAGAGCTGGAGTGGTGGCGTGCAGGAGCAAAGTCCCAGCAGTGCCCTGGGCTGGGTGGTTCTCCTTGGCTCTGCTGCTCCCTGAGGGGCTGGCACCGGCTGGGGATCCCTCCTTGGCTGTGCCAGTGCAGCCCAGGGGGCTGGGGTGGGCTGCGCTGGGGGCTGAGGTGTGCAGTAGGGTTACTGCAGCCTGGGGAGCTGGGGCAGAGGGCTTCAGGGTGTTGTGGTAGTTGGTGGCAGCTTGGCCTTTGGATCCTCTTTGTGCTCAGAGCTGCCCAGTGCACCCCATCGCTGGGGCAGAGCCCCTTCCGGAGGGTGGCCCCATTGGATGAGCAGCCAGGCTGGCCATGGCATCAGCGGGGGCTGCCAGTTCGCGCCAAGCAGCCCGCAGGGGCTGGCACCGCCCTTGCCCCAGCGCTTATGGCCACATTGGCCGGGG